ACACACACACACATGGATACACACACACACACACACACACAAGAACTCAGAGCTCCCAAGAAGCAACACGTCCATTCTTGACTTCTGATCATTGGTTTCATTTTGGAGAAAAAGTTGTGGTCACACCTTGGACCAAGGGATAAACCATGAGAGAGGAAGAAACTCAACCGAGTTGCCGATGTCCATCTTCTGGTGACGTGAAGATAAAGCCCTCAAGCACAATCACAGGATTCTTGTTGGTCATGAAGGACTTGCCCAATCCTGTGGACATCTAACCAGGATTGCATTCCTACCGGACAATAAGTCGGAGTTCATGCGTTGCACTAAACCATGGTGTCAGGGCTCTGGTAGTTACCCCCATTTATGTTTCTCTCTCTGTTGGGCACAAATAAAAAAATGATTGCTGCGAATGCCATGTGGTGTCAGGAAGGGCATCTGGCCAGTAAACGCTCAGCTCCATCAGCCTCAACTCTACCCCAGGAAGAGAATCATGAAAAGGGGAGGTTTTTTTTAACTACCGAAGCCAACTCTGAGAAACATCATTCACTGTCGCCCTTGACCCTGGTTTTCCCCCCACCCCTGGGTGTATCATTATTCATATCCTCCAATGGGACACATCCATAGCCCAGAGTCATCAATCAGGCTCTCTTGTTAGAATTTTGCAGGGCAGAAACTTCGGTCACTTAGTTACTATCTTTGAAAACATTTATGGAATGCAGTTTCTGTTTGCAAGCTGCTGCACTGCTCCCCCTTCCCTTTCTGTTGGCAACTCTAAAAAGACCATAGATATATTTTATGAGTTGACACATGGTTTGCTTTGCCAAGGCTTCCTGATCCAAATGGGTTGGATTTCCATATTACCGTAAGCCACAAAACACACACACACATTCATACTAGAGCTTATTGCTCTCAAGGATCACCACGTCCATTGACTTCCGTTCACTGATTTCATTTTGGGAGAAACAAGCTGGCATTATAACCTTGGACCGTGTCATCAACAAACACCATGGGCAAACTTATTAGAAGGAGCTGAGTTACTGATGTTCCCTCTTCCTATGAGGCAAAAGTTTAAAAAAAAAACAAAAAAAACCACCCTTAAGCACAATCACAAGATGGTGGTTGGTTGCCAAGGGCTGCGTTCTTTGGAGGTCTTCAGGGTGTAACTTTCCAACCTGGGGCAGCCTGAGAGGAAAGCCTCCACCACCGCGTGGCTGACCACACAGAAACAGTGCACCTCCTTCAAGCGGGAGCATTTTTGGGCCAACTCGACGAGCGCGGCGTTAAGTTCGTCCGACGAGGTGGTGCGAAGGACCAGCTTCTCCAACGTGCCGCTGTAGTTGACGGTGGCAAAGCGGACTTGGTACACCATGTAGGCAAACGTGTTGAGCTGCAATTCCGTCACTGGGATGTTGGGCTTCAAGATGCGAGGGATCTTCCACTGTGGGACCGTGTGGTCCAGCTCCAGTTGGACGTAGAGCTGGGGGTATTTCTCACACACCAAAGCCCACAGCTCTTCCGAGATCACGGGGATGTATTTGTCCAGCCGCTCGCAGAAAATATCCAGGCACTTGAAAGTTGGCCGGTTGAGGGTCACCAGTTCCTTAAAGACCTCCTCAGAGAGGCTGGCGTAATAGACCCCCAAGGTGGACAATTGGGGGCAAGCCTTCAGAAGTTCAATGATGGTCTCCGGGGTGACGTTGCACACTAAGGTGCGGTTGTTCAGGTACAAGGTGTGCAGGTTTGGGCTGCTGGAGGCCACGAGCTGGACGATCCCATCGTCCAAGGTGAACGGCATCGCCCGAAAATCGATGTGCTGCAGGTCGATTCGGTTCTGGCTCTGGCAAAGGCCCCGGATGCTCTGCAGGATGTCTTGGCCGGAATAGAAATAAGGATTTTCTCCCGTGCATTCGATGCACAGGGCCTGCAGCTTGTGGTTCTGCTTGGCCAGAAGGTCCAGGATCTGGCAGACATTCTGACGGATCCCCTCCTCGGATTGGTTGAAGGCCACCTTAAGGTGCTTGATGTGGCGCAGGAACTGGTGCAAATTCTGCAGGGTGGCTTCGTCGTCTTTGGCCACGCACCTGGGGAACCGTTGGGAGGGTGGGGATGAAAAAAAAAAAGCAGCATTGGAGCAGTGTTGGAATTACAGCAAATGAAGATATAATTCATCTAGTCTCCTTCTCTCTCTCTTTCTCTCAAAACATCTACCTGTCTGTCTGTCTATTTATTTTGGGGATCCTTAAAACATCTCATCCATCCATCCATCCATCCATCCACCCACCCACCCACCCACCCATCCATCCATCATCTGATCTATCTATCTATTTAATCTATCATCTTATCTATCATGAGAATCCTCAAAACATTTCTCTCTCCTCTCTCTCTTTTCAAAACATCTCTGTTATCTCTTACTGTTTGTCTATCCATCCATCCATCCATGTCTCTCTCTATATCTCTTTATATATACTCTATCTCTATATATCATCTATCTATATCTAGCTATCTATCATGGGAATCTGCAAAACATTTCTCTCTCCTCAAAAAATCTCTATCATCTCCATCTGTCCATCCATATCTATCTATCTATCTATCTATCTATCTATCTATCTATCTATCTATCTCCATCCATCCATCCATCCATCCATCCATCCATCCATCCATCCATCCATCATGGGAATCCTCAAAACATCTTTCCTTCTCCTCAAAAAAGTCTCTATCATCTCCATCCATCCATCCATCCTTCCATATCTATCTATCTATCTATCTATCTATCTATCTATCTATCTATCTATCTATCTATCTATCTAATCAATTAATCCATTTACTTAGCACACCTTCTAGAAAAATATGTATTGATGTCAGCCCTTTATGGCAGATCAAACTAGGAATCAGACACACAAGCTGGCCAACGCTCATCAATCATCACCTTGTTGCTTCAAGTCTCAAAGTTCATCAGAAACTGGTCTGGTAAATTTGGAGTTGGTGCGCTGTACAAGTGCAAACCTGTGGCCTGAACAGGGGCGTCTGAGAGACCTCACTACAGCTAGTAACTATGCAGAAGAGCTTCATGCCTCACTGAAATCCATTGTCTTCTTCATCATGAGTTTATTGAATTAGTCACAACTGGCAAGGTTCATACTGTGCACTAAGCCATAACCCACGTCTTGGACTCCCTAAAAGCTGGATTATAATATATACTAACTAAGCCAATAATAAAGCCACCCACAGCACACATAAGCATAGTGCATGCAGCCTAATACCTAGTGCAAACTGCTTTTACGAGTATTATGTCCTTCTGCACCGCATCCCTCCTCCTCCTTTGCCTATTCACAGCTACTTCAACTCCATGACCCACCTTACTCCCATTCTTACCTGACTTCTGTGTAACTCCAGACACAGCCGGCCGAAACTGCTGCAGCCCACTTCTTACAGACCTGAAAAACCGTATGTCTGTCTTGCAGGGACAAGTAGCAAAAGACATGAGAGAGAATTTCCTCCGGGATGTAGTTCCAGGCATCTCCAACTGTCTCCGGCATCCTTCAGGGACTCTTCTCTGAAAGAAAACACGCACTAAAGTGAGGCCACACCTAGAATTTCACATCTAGTTTTGCTCACCACACTATAAAGAAGAGGTTGAGACTCTAGAAAGAGTGCAGAGAAGAGCAACCAGGATGATGAGGGGACTGGAGGCTAAAACATACAATGAACGGTTGCAGGAACTGGGCTTGGCTAGTCTAGTGAAGAGAAGGACCAGGGGAGACAGGATGGCAGTCTTCCAATACTTGATGAGAAGAAAGAAAAGAGAAGGAGAAGAAAGAACAGCTGATCCAGAGACAGAAGGAGCAAGATTCTGTATCTGCCGGTCTTACATCCAGCCACCTCGGGAAAAGAAGAAATGCCATTTTGCTCTCAAACCAGACCTCAAAATCCGCAAGAGGAATCTGCATGTCACCTACCAAGAACCTCCTTCCCCCTTCCTGCTTTCTCACTGCAGTCCTGAAAAAGGAGAAAGGATCAGCAGTTATTTTTACTTTCCGGAAAGACTGAATGGGTGAAGTCACTTCCTTCGATTTAACACACGGTTTTCATTGTAGTTTGTAATTCAAGCCCCGGCACACAAACTGACCTTTGATTTCCAGGCTTGTTATCATTGCTGCTCGTAAAACCTGTGTTTGTTCTGCCTTCTGCACTTGGTAAATCCTTGGGCAACGGAGCCCTGATATTGCATTTCAAAACGAAACGCGTCATTGCAGGGAGAGGAGGATTTGCCGGCTGCTTAGAGGAACACCCAGATTTTCCTTCCACGGACGAACGATTCCGTCTCTTGTATCCTGAACAGCAGCAACGGGCCTTCTCACACCCTTCCTTCACACAGCGTGAAGGCCCCATTTCGGATTTATTCCTTGGGGTCTAATCAAATTTAGAATCCATCCAGTCCTCGAAGCTCTCTGGGTAATTTACAAGGCAACCAACACCCCCCCAATATATAATACAATTGGAAGGCAAACAATTATCATAGAGAGTAGAGCTGGCTGAGTGGTTAGAATACAGCATTGCAGGCTGACTCTGCCCATTGTCAGCAGTTCAATCCTGACCGGCTCAAGGTTGACTCAGCCTTCCCATCCTTCTGAGGTCGGTAAAATGAGGACCCAGATTGTTGGGGGACAATAGAGAGGGCTGTAAAGCACGTGAAGCAGTATATTTTTATGATGACTATGATCATGATTTATCACTTATAGTTTTATGTACACTAAGAGCTTATGCACTAAAGACAAATTCCTTGTGTCCAATCACACTTGGCCAATAAAGAATTCTATTATATTATATATCAGTTTAAGTGCTATTGCTATTGTCCTTCCTTCCTTCCTTCCTTCCTTCCTTCCTTCCTTCCTTCCTTCCTTCCTTCCTTCCTTCCTTCCTTCCTTCCTTCCCCCCTTCCTTCCCATTCATCCATCCATCCATGATGCACAGTGGTTAGAATGCAGTATTGCAGGCTAATTCTGCCAATTGTCAGCAGTTCAATCCCGACCGGCTCAAAGTTGACTCAACCTTCCATCCTTCCAAGGTTGGTAAAATGAGGACTCAGATTGTTGGGGGCAAAATGATGACTTGTAAACCCCTCAGAGAGGGCTGGAAAGCACTGTGAAGTGGTATATAAGTCTAGGTACTATTGCTACACCATGAAAAATGAAAACACTGTACAGGTAGTTCTTGACTTACAACCGTTCATTTAGTGACCATTCAAAGTTACAACCACACTTTAAAAAAGTGACGTGACCATTTTTCGCCTCTTGTAGCATCTGCATATTCACGTGATTTAAATTCAGATGCTTGGCAACTGACTCATAGTTATGACACTTGCGGTTTCCCAGAGTCGCGTGATCCCTTTTTGCGACCATCTGACAAGCAAAGTCAATGGGGAAGCCAAGTTCACTTAACAGCCGTGTTACTAATTTAACAACTGCAGTGATTCACTTAACAAACGTGGCAAGGAAAGTTGTAAAATGGGACAAAACTCAGTTAACCCTTAAGACAGCAAAGGTGCCACCGAAAAATATATACCTCCTACCCAAAGTATATACTGGCAGAAGGAAGGAACACAAAGGTTGCCCAGCCTATTATACGAGATGTGGGGTGAGCCAATACCGCTGGGGAGACCTTGGGCTCTGCAAATAATCCACTCCTATTCCATGTAGGGCTTTATAAGTCATTTTATGGCCCTCTGCAATTATGATGTGTCAGTTCCTGTTACGCTCCAAAGTTTATGACAGGAGGAAGAAGTACATTATAACAGATATGATACGATTGGCAGTGCAAAAACCCTCATAAAACCAAAAG